TCGTGGGCTTAGAATTTCGAGAATTTTGCTCGGGGGGCATTTTGAGGGGCTCTTCCGATGTCCTGAGGGTGAGGGTGAAGCTCAGCCCCGCTAAGCTCTGCTAAGCCCTGCTAAGCCCTGGCAAACCCTGGTGAGCTCATACGCCTGGCTGAGCCTTGCCATGCTATGCCCAGCCCTGGCAAGCTCTGCCAAGTCCTGCTAAGGCAAGCCTTACCAAGCCCTGCTGAGGACTGGCAAGCTCGGTTAATCCGAGTTTCTTAAGAAGCGTCGGGGGGCGTCACCCCCGCCGACAGCCCCACATCGACCCCCGTCGCGGGCAGCCACCGAGCGCCGAAGGCGTTCCGACCCCCGTCGCGGCGCGACGACGAGGCGAGGTTCACCCCCGTGGGGGGGTACCCCCCCACGCTTATTAAGAAACCCAGAGTAAGCCCTACTAAGCCTTGCTCAGCCTTTCTCAGCCTTGGCAAGCTTTGGTAAGCCCTGCTGAGTCTTGCTCAGCCTTGGCAAGCTCGGCTCTGCCCTGCCACTGCTTGTGAAGCCTCGAGCCCTGCCGGTCTTTGCTGAGCCCTGCTGAGTCCTGCCAAGCCCTGGTAAGCCCTGCTGAACCCTACTGGGCCCTTCCACACACACCCCATCCCCGCCCCTCTTCCCTCTCCCTCTCCCGATCTCCTCTTCCCCCCGCAGGGCGCGAGGGGGAGGAGAGGAGGAGGAGGAAGAGGAGGAGGAGGAGGAGGAGGAGGAGGAGGAGGAGGAGGAGAGGGAGGGAGGAGAAGGAGGAGGAGCTTCGTTTGGTCCGCCACCCTCAGGTCACATGGGCTACCTGCATCTCTTGGGTCGCACGGGGAAGAGGACGCATCTTCAGTAGAATACGCGATACAACCGAATGGAAGAGGTCCTGAGCTGCCCAGGGGGCGAGAGCCGCGTTTGCCGCCCACCGTTTGGAGGAGGTGGCTGATGCCGAGGCTGCGGCGATTGACGCTTCGGCGGCCTGGGCGGACCTGGAGAAGCAGACAGGCGTGGCGCGGGACATCCTTCAACCCCCCTTCCCCTGCTCCAGGGACTTGCCCACCTCCACCGATGCGGAAACGCGCGCCCGGGATCTCGCGGAGCCTCGGATGTGGACATTGCTCGCCCTTTGGGACGGGAAGGTGTCCATTGCCGACGCCTCCGCGGGACTTTCGCGGGCCCGTCTCCAAGCCGGCAGGCGCGGAGCCCTTCCCCTGGCGCGGACTTCAGCTCGGCTCGGCCTCCCTCGGGGCCCGAAGGGGGCGCGCGGCCTGGCCGCCCGCCGCCCCCTCCCCCCTCGCGCGGTGCCCGAGGGGCAGGCGGCGGCGGGGCGGCGGGGGCAGCCGCGAAGAGAGGACTTCAAGGGCAACGTTTTGGGGGGAAGAGAACTCCTCAGAGCGTGAATTGCCTACCCCGCTTTCGCTTCCGGGCAAAGCCAAGCTATACCATAGGCCTCCTCGTCAAGCGGCCTGACCAGTACAGGCCGTAGTTTGGCATCGCTTGGTATCTCTTGGAAGCGGGGGTGGTCAAAAGCGAGGTAGGTTTGTTTGCCCCCTAGTTTGGGGGGGAAGAGAGCTCCAATCGTCCACGGATCGCCGGCGGGGGCCCCGATGGGCTTGCCCCGCCCAGGAAGGTGCGGAGTCGCCTGAAGGGGGGACGTCGCCGATCTATCGGGGATGCATCGCCGAGTCCAGGTCGATGTTTCTCCCCCTGAGTTGGTCGTCCCTGACGTTCCCCCTCAGGAGTGGCTGGCGGTGCAACGAGCGGATTCGGGAGGGTCACGTCAGAAGACATCACAGTAAATGGAACATAGGGCATGTCCGATCACGCAGGTACCCACGCCGACTTGCACACCCACAAGCACTGGGCTGCCCGCAGCCTGCGACTGCGGACCAGACTGACAAGTGTCGGTGCAGCCCCAAGAACCAACGTTTCCGACGAGCCAGTGCGGGGCAGAGTTAGCCAGAGTTGCCTCAATAATTGGAGTTCCAGGGGAGACAATCGGGATAGGGCGGGCAAATCGAGGCTAGTCCCAAAACAACGATTCCCCGCAAGCCAACGGGACTATTGCCATGGGCTAATCAGGGCTAGTTTGGAGAACCGCCAACCACTGTCTATTTTCTGTATCTGGACTGTTGGGGATTGTGCCGGTGACGAACCGACTCTTTCTCTGCACGCTGGTACGAGTACTTTCTGTACTTGTTCATCCTTGCGTCCTTCATCCGGTGTCGACACCCAGCCCTACTCCTCCGCATCCGACGCCGCACTCGACGCCGTACCCAACGGCCTTCCCGACGCCGTACTCGAGTCCGTACCCAAATGCCTTCCCGATTGCTAACCCGAAGCCCTTCCCGACGACCTTGCCCGACAGCCTTCCCGGCGCCGTGCCCGACGCCTAGCCCGACGCCCAGCAGTCCGTTTAATTTTCCAGGTTGGCCGACGTCGCATCCGACGTTTCCTCCTGCAGGCCTTGAGACGGCTGGAGCTGGGGCTGCGGCTGCCACTGCCGACCCCTGCTGGTCAAGTGAGCTTGGCCAGGGGTTCGATCCGATGGGACTGGGCTCTTGCACTACGGGCATGACGCGGAAATCAGGTACCTGTTTGTGCTCTGCAGGGGTTCTGGTTTTGGCCGTTCCTTCGATTCAGGTTGACCAGTGGCAGAGACTGGGAGTGGCCAGAAGTCGAAGAACAAACGCCATAAACATAAACTTTTGGCGCTCCGCACGGATTTCTTGGATCCGCGCTGGCCCCCCCCGGCGGCGCCTCCGGCGCCGCCCCTGGTGCGCTCCGCATGCCAGGGAGGGGGTTCCGGCGCCGATCCAAGAAATTCGCGCGGAGCGCCAAAAGTTTATATTTAAGGCGCTTGTTCTTCTTCTAAGAAGAGCTTCTTTGTTCCTTCCAGTGGAGACCCATGCCAAGACATATCCTTTCGCCTCCAAAGTGCCCTGGGTTTCTTGGGTTTCGATGGTGCTGCGATGGAAAGCGTGACGTTCCCACCAACAATCAATGGACGTCCTGGGGTCTCAGGGTAGGATTTCTTTTGGAAGGTTTATCGTGGACTGTCCTCCACTGTACTTCTTGCTCCCCGTGGCCTTGCACGATGGCTGCACGGTCAGGTTCTCTTTGGCTCAGCGTGTCGCGCCGCCGGATCTGCCCCACCACGCTTTCGGCGCGATGCCGCTCTTCTCACATGCTGGGCCGGGAGCGCCCACGTCCCGAGCTTCTCCCCCGGCCTCCCGCCGCGCGGAGAGCGGGTCGCTACGCTCGAAGGAGGAAACGAACCCTACAAAAATAAACTCTTGGCGCTCCGCGCGGATTTCTTGGATCGGCGCTTGGTTCCCCCTGGCGGCGCCTCCAGCGCCGCCCCTGGCACGCGCCGCGCGCCAGGAAGGGGGGTCCGGCGCCGATCCAAGAAATCTGCGCGGAGCGCCGAAAGTTTATGTTTATGGCGCTTGTTCTTCTAAAGGTATCATGTTCCAATTTGCTTTAGCCTTGACCACCAGAAAAAAAATCGAGCACCAAGAGAGTGCCGAAACTTGAGGGCGTGCCCTGGGAGACGATACTCGTTCGACACTGTTTCGATTCTTTTCTGGGTGCTCGAAATGATTTTTGCGATGTGGTCCATAAGTACGGTGGGAGCCACATCAGCGGAGCGCCACAAGGTTTGTGTTCAAGGCGTTTTTCCTTCTTCTAGATCCTGCTCCAGCCTCCCGCCGCGCGGAGCGGGTCGATACGCTGCCCGCCAGCAGGGCACGGCGCTTCACACGGGAGCCGCCGCAGCCTCGAGAAACAGACGCCGAGCAAGGGTGCCCGGGCGGAGCTGCTCTTGGGCCGGCCTGGGCGGTCCAGGGCCTCCCGTCCCCCCCTTGTGGGACTCTTCTGTGGTCTCTGAGGGAAGCGTCAGTCGGGGAACGCACAATGGCATAATAAACATAACAACTCCGAGGTCCGCGCGGATTTCTCGGATCGGCGCTGGACCCTTCTAGCGGCGCCTCCGGCTCCACCCCTGGCGCGCTCCGCGCGCCGGGGAGAGGGGTCCAGCGCGGATCTCAGACATCCGCGCGGAGCGCCAAACGTTTATGTTTATGCCGTTTTCTCTTCTACTTCTGTGGTCTCTTTTCGGGGAAGCGTGAGACTCGAGAAGGCGGGAGCTCGGGTCTGCCGAAGTGTTTTGGCGAGCGCGTCCTGGATTTTGACGGTCCGGGTTTCGTGGGATGTTTGCAGCGGGAGGTCGCGTCAAACTTCAGACGGGGTCTCGTCGTTTTCATGATGGCCCCGCCAGGCCAATCTCAGTCCCCCGAGCCCGAGTCTTACGTCTCCCCAGCTTTTCCTCTCCATTCCACCCTCTAGCGAAACGCGGCTCAGCAAAACGCACCCCTGTTCCTGAACACCCTCCCTCCTTCCGTATCGGCCACGGGCGGGGACTCTTCGGGACCGCGTGTCGCTCCGCTGGTGCTGGCCCACCACGCTTTCGGCGCGGCGCGCTGCTCTCGAGCAGTGGCGAAGCGTCCCGGCTTCCCCACGGGCCCACCAAAGCATGCTCTGAGACCTTTTGTGCGGCTTGCACAGCATGTTCGCAGAACGTTTCTGGCTGAGGCTGCCCTGTTTCAACACATCGGGCTGATGTGCCGAGAACCGTGCTCTTGTTCTTAGAGCCTGCGTGGGTTCCGAGAGCATGTCGTGCTAGACCTGTAGGACTGCCAAGGCGGTCGGCCCCTGCTCACTGTTCGCGTCGCGGTGTCCCCGAGCGTCCACGCCCCGAGCCTCTCCCCGCCTCCCGCCGCCCGGGGAGCGGGAGCGGCACGACCCCTCCTGGCGGATGCGCTCCACCCGCGCGGTAAGGACGGCCTGAGCCGGGGCCGCCCCCGCGGCGGTTTCGGCGCCGCCCGTGGCGCGCTCCGTGCGCTGGGGAGGGGCAGCCCCAGCGCAGATCCAAGAGATCTACGCGGAGCGTCGACGGTTTCTGTTCATGCTGTGGTTTCTCCTCCTGCCGAGGGTACCCTGGCATCCCTGCCTCCTCGGCCCATCCTTCGCCACTTCCGTCGGCCGCGCCCCGTTCGAACAGCTTCGAAACGGGCGTCCGAGGCCCTTGCATCCTTATCGTGCATCCTTGCTATGCAGGTTGACTGTAGCGCTCGTTACCCAGGACCCCGCCCCCCCCAGGTAACGGTAACGATCGTACCGGGGGGGGTGGGGGGTGCTTGGTGCCCCCCCGACATTCAGGTGCCCGAAGGCATGTTGTGTTGCTCACAGGTCTGATCACGTGCTTCCGTGGCACATGCAGGCTTACTGGAGGTGTTCGAGCAGACACTTTGCGCTGCTCGCTCTCTTGCGATTCTGAAAGTGCCTGGCGTGCTGTTGTACCTGCGCGTGGTGCTCGCAGGCGTGTGGTTCGATCTCGCTGTGGTAATTGCGGGTATGCTGCGGCGTTCGCAGATGTTCGTGATGCTCGCGAGAGAGGGAGGGCAAGAGAAGGAGGAGGACGGCGACGACGGGGGGGAGACGGGGGGGATGGGGAGACGGCCTCGGGGGATGGGGAGACGGGGGGGGCGAGACGGGGAGGGGAGACGGGGGGGAGACGGCTTCCCCTTGGGGAGACGGGGGGAATGGGGAGGGGGACGATGGGGACGAAGAGGAGGAGGAGATGGCGGAGGTGGAGGAGGAGCAGCAACACTAGGAGGAGGAGGACGGCGACGACGACGAGGAGGAGGAGGAGGAGGAAGAGGAGGACGAGGGAGGTAAGGAATAATACGGTTGAGGCAAGGAGCCGACGCGCACAAGCCGATGGAAGCGCGGTGGCGTGTACCATCCTGTCGCCACCGCCGCCACGAGCTCCGCCGCCACCGTCATCATCACCCTTGTCGCTCGCGGTCGTCGCCGCTGCCGCCGTCGTTGTCACCCCCGCCATCGTCACCGTCGGCGTCGTCGTCGTCGTCATACGTCGACGTCGGTCATCGTTGTCGTCGCCTTCGTCCTCGTCCTCGTCGTCGTCGTTTTGTCGTCGTCGTCGTCGTCGTCGTCGTCGTCGTCGTCGTCGTCGTCGTCGTCGTCGTCGTCATCCTCTGTCGGCTCGTTGTCGTCCGTCGTCGTCCGTGTCGTCGTCGTCGTCGTCGTCGTCGTCGTTGTCGTTGTCGATTGCCCTGCTCACCACCGCCGTCCGCCCGCTCTATGAGCACCATGTGGTTTGTTGCGCCTGCGTGGCGGGCTTCGCACTTCCAGCTCCTGGCGCGCTCCGCGCTTCCTCCCATGCCTCGGGACCGGTCTCCATTGCTGGGCCGTTTTTCACTCCTCCCTTCTTTGAGGTTTCTTGCGGCCAGGCTACACTCGCGTCCTCCCCTGGGGGAGACGGGGGGGATGGAGAGGGGGACGAAGGGGACGAAGAGGTGGAGGAGGAGGCGGAGGAGGAGCAGGAACACTGGGAGGAGGAGGATGCGGAGGAGGAGGAGCACGACGAGGTCGAGGAGTAGGAGGAGGGGGAGGAGGGGGAGGAGGAGGAGGAGGAGGAGGAGGAGGAGGAGGAGGAGGAGGAGGAGGAGGAGGAGGACGAGGACGAGGAGGAGGAGGAGGACGAGGAGGAGGAGCAGAACGGCGACGAATCCGATGCCGACGGTTTCGACGACGACCACGACGCTGACGACGACGACCACGACGACAGCGACGACTCTGACGGCGACTCCGACGCTGACGACGGCAACCACGATTCCGATGACCACGAACACGAAGACGACGTTGCCGATTCCGACGACGGCGGCGACAACGATGACGGCCGACGATGACGACGACGACGACGACGACGACGACGACGACGACGACGACGACGACGGCGACGATTGCGACGACGGCGCCGACGGCAACGAGTCCGATGACGATTCCTTCGACTCTGGCGGCGACGCTGATATTTCAGAAGATAATTTCGATGAGGACGTTAACGACGACGATTCCACAGATGCCGACGAAGATTCAGACTGCTACCGCGATTCCGACGACAGCGGGGATTCCGACGACGACTCCGACGATGACGACGTTTGCGGCGACGATGACGACATTCGCAGCCTCCGCACGGGGGGGGGACGGGGAGGACGGGGAGGGGATTAGGAGGAGGAGGAGGATGACGACGAGGACGACTCCGATGAGGATACTTACCGCGACGACGCCGACGACTCTGGCGGCGACTCCGACCCCGACGACGACGACTTCGACGACGACAACGACGACGGCGACGATTGCGACAACGACTCCGACGGCGACACAAATAACTCAGACGGTGATTTCGATGCAGACGGTGGTGACGATGATTCCGACGACGCCGATGACGATTCCGACGAAGATTCGGACTGCGACGATTGCGACGACGGCGAAGACTCTGACGATTCCGACGATGACGATGATTCCGAAGATTCCGATGACTCCGACTCCGATTCCGTCCTGTGCCGCAACCCGCGGCGCAGCCTTCGGCGCAACCATTTGGTGTAACCCATGGCGCGCACGGCGCAACGTGTGGGCGCAACCTATGGTGCAACTTGTGGCGCAGCGAGAATGCAATGTCCCGCTGTCGGGGGTGTGACGATGGCACACACCTGCTATTACTGGTGGTATGCATTACCTCGGCCACTGCAGTCAGGTGACGAGGTCTATTCCGCAAGCCCAGAAAGGACAACAGGGCCCCGTAAGAGAGGCAGGGGGAGGAGGAGGAGGAGGAGGAGGAGGAGGAGGAGGAGGAGGTGGAGGAGGAGGAGGTGGAGGAGGAGGAGGAGGAGGAGCAAAGAAACAGGACGAGGAACGGGGAGAGGAAGACGATGATTTGCACTGCCCCGCAACGTTGTGCGGCCCCTCACCGCGCGGCAAGGTGGTCGGAACCGCACTGGTTCCTGGATAGTTCTCTGGGAGGTAAGAGGTTTTTAGATAAGAAGCCGACAGGCAGGGCTACGCCAGCTCCTCTCCAACGATCCCTGACAGTCATCCCCTCGGCGAGTTGCTTGAGATAGCAGCGTGTTCCGGACAGCGTTTTCATATTCGTTTCCAAGCATGAAGCATTTCCGCAGGTCTTTCGAAGCTCTTTCGAAGCTCCTTCGAAGCACGCCCTCCGAAGCTTGCAAGCTCCCCAGGCATGCTTTCCAGCGCCCTGGCAAGCGTCTCCCACAAGCTGTGTCGAAGCTTGCAAGCTCTTCAGGCATGCTTTCCAGCGTCCTTGCCAGCGCCTCCCATAAGCGTTTTACACGCTTTGGACTGCGTCGCTATTCGGGTTTTGGGATGCACAAGGGCTCGCAGACGCGCAGTGCGCGCAGTGTGATGCTCGCAGGCGCTCGGTGATGTTCGCAAGCGCACCGTGGTGCTCCCAAACGCATTGTGGTGCTCGCGCTGTGGTATGGTTGTCGCAGGCCCACAGTGGTCGCTCGCAGGTCATTGCGTTGCTCGCATGTGCTACGCCGGTGCTCTCCAGAGTTCCGCGCGCGGCCGAGTCGTAGGCCACTGTCGCGCTCGCAGGCACAGAGTTCAGTTCGGGCGCGTATTGTGGCGATCGCAGCGCGCCACCGCTCCGACGAACCCCACCCCGCCCAAGCGTTACCCTTACCCGGGGCCCAGAGGCCCCCCCTCACCGGGTAACGACCGTTATCGGCCAGAACAAAAGAACAATGTCACGCTGTTCGCTTGCAGGGGACAGCGTGTCGCTTGGGGCGCCGCCGTGACTTGTTATGCAGAAGTCCCTGACCGTAGCACGATAGCTGTATACCCCCCTTCGGTGGCAAATCAGGGGGGCCTCGTACCCCCTCGTAGCTCCGCCTTCACAGTGCCGTGGCGTCGAGTAGCGCCTGGTGATCTGTGAGGTCGCGCCGGTATTGCGTCGACTGCCGTCGATGACCATCTGTTCAGCGTCGACGAGTGTCGATTAGCGTCGCCTCGCAAGAGCCAGACGGGAAGCTCCCATGAGTTGCAACCGAACTCCCCTCCCTCCCTCTAGGCCCCCTACATGGGGTCGGAGGAGATGGGGTCGAAGGATCTCGCCGCATCGCCGATGCATCGGCGATGCTGCTCGATGTGGAGCCCGATTTGCTTCACGCCGACGTCGCCGATACATCGCCGACGTCGACGATGCGGCGCGATCCTCCGACCCCGTCTACTCCGACCCCATCTAGGAGGCCTCTATTCATCGGTCGTTGATAGGTATTTCTGGAGTCCCAGATTCCAATCTACTTTACGCGCCCGCAAGGGCCGAGTGGCTTCCCCTCACTAGTCTTCTTTAGGGGGCAGGCGGGGACACAATATACTCTCAACGCCTTCCTACTTCATTTCTCGACCTACTTCTTCCGACCGACGGGTACTCCCAGCCCCCGTCCCCATCCCTCCCCCCTGCCCCGAGCCCCCCCCCACCGGCTGCGCGCCACCCAGCCGCGTGCCTCGACCCCGGTGCGGAGACCTCAGATCTCCATCCGCCGGCTGCGCGCGCGTCCTGAGGCATATGCCCGGGGGATGGTCGGCAGCACCTGTGGCGCCCGCGCGCCTCGCAGCACACGGCGTGCACGTCACAGGACGTGCCGCCACAGGGGAAACCAACAGGTGCCGCGATGCCGCCACCCTCAAGTCGGGCGTGTCCCTCTACAGGGGGAATATTCAAAAATAGTAAAAAGATAGTCTGGGGACGGTGTTTCGACCGTTTGTAGACTATTTTTGATGTTTCTTTGATTATTTTCTAGTGTCCGTCCAAAATCTGTCTGTGGGGGGACATGCCCGACCTCACGCTACTCCCCGGGCCTCTCCTGGGGCGCGTTCTGACCCGAATCTCGAGGCGAGACCAGCGGTGGCGACGAGGGCCTCCCAGGAGGCCGAGACAGGACACAACGAGGGAGGGGCAGCGCGGTACGGACACCTCGTCCTCCTCCGAGCCACAGCCGCACGACGTCAGCCAGCGGCTCGAGGTCGTTGCCTGCCCGCCCTGCCAGGCCACGACGCCGCCGTGCTGGAGGGGCGGCTGTCCGAACTGGCGGGCGCGGAGGAGGCGTTGCGGGCGGCCGAGGATACGCGGGCGCCCCCTCTCGGCCACTCTCCCGGCCACCTTCCCCCGTGGTGGGCCTCTCTATGATGGGCCCGTTTCCCACCACCAGTGCCATAGGCAAGACGGCGGAGAAAGGAGGATCGGGAGGGCCTATTCCTCCTCCTCCTCCTCCCCCTCCTCCTCCTCCTCCTTCTCATCCTCCTTCTCCTCCTCCTCCTCCTCCTCCTCCTCCTCCTCCTCCCCCTTCTCCCCCCCTCCTCCTCCTCCTCCTCCTCCTCCTCCTCCTCCTCCTCCTCCTCCTCCTCCTCCTGGTAGGGTATACGAATTGGTCCAAGAGTTTCGAGCAGAGCGGGGAGCAGTGTTGCAGAGAAACGCTTTGGGAAAAGGCCTCCCCGTCAGTAGGTGGCACCATCTATAATGACGACACGATAGTTATCTTCATGTCCGTTTCTCATTACAGATACGGAGAGACGGTGGGCGGGGTATCTCGCAGACTGTACAGCATACGCACCATGTTGAGATGGGTCACGGACAGTGGGGATAAACTGGCACCCGAATGCAAATAACACAAAATATTCGGGGCAAGTGGGACATACAAAATACATCTCAACCTGCATCGATCATCTTCGGCTCCCACAGCCAACCTGGCTCAACGACGGCCCAGGTGCGCAGTGTTGCGCACCAGGGCGGGACGCTGGAGGCTGCCCATGGCCTTCACGGACAGCAGTCAGCTATGGCCATACGGGCGTTGCATCAAGGGGCTCGGGTACTACAAGACGATCGACGGCCACAGGGAGCACATCAAGACTGCGCGTGGGCATGAACAAATCAAGGAGACAAAGGAAGTCAATGGAAGAAGGTGTGCACCGACTGCGAGATGGAGCTGGGGCATGAGGAGTGGATCACGTGGAGCGACGAGGAAAATATACGACACGGAGGAGAGCGGTACACTACGAGAGAGCAAGCCTGCCGAAAACAGAAAAAGGAAAGCAAAAGGAGCCGCGTGGCAGCCCAGTCCCTGGGACAGATCCAGGCGGCGAAAGCGCTCATTGAGGCCGAGGAAGGACCAAAGAAATGGTCTCGCAATGAGACGAACAAGATGGTCATAGAGAGGTCCAAGGAGATGTCAAAGGCGCTGCTGGAGGGCATCAAAATGAATGGGGGCATTTTCGCAGCCTTCAGCAACGCAGGAGAAGGCATGGCTGATGCCTTACGATGCGCCGAAGAATATGACACCCAGCTGAACAAGTACATGGCCATTGACGTCAAGGACGTAGAAGCGCTGACGGCCGCCTAGAAAAAGTTGGAGGAGAAAAAGAAGGAGCTGCACGATATGGGAGACTACAAGACGGCGAAGAGCACGCGGGAGAAACAGACAGCGCACCTTCAGATGCTGGACTTCGTGGACAAGCGGGGCGACAACATGCAGCTGTTCAACGTTTGCAGGAGGAACACAGGATCGGACAAAAAGAAGAACACCGCCTGCTCGCGCGGACACGCATTCCCTAACAAGCCGCGGTGGCAAGGCCCCGGCCCCAACTCAAGGGGGCCCCAGTGGAAGTTTTGGTGCAAAGTGGACCGGGCGCAGCTCGCGAAGGTGCAGGAGAAACATCCAGAAGACGAGCTCCTGAAGAGTTGGTGGACAAAATGAAGGGCGACTTCGGCGAACATAGCGAGAAGTGGCCAGACATCGGGTGCAAGTCTATGTACCACCAGTTCAAGAGGGGGCCTTCAAAGGTGGTGGAGCTCAAGGTGGGAGAGAAGTGGGAAGCGCTTGTAGCGGATAGGCTGCCGCAGAAGCTAGGCGACGCCATCGAGGACAACCATTGCAAGCTCTACGACGCCGCCCAGAAGATGAGCCCAGAGGAGCTCCTCGAGTTGAGCCCAATCGCCTTCCCGAAGACGCACATGGCCGACCGACGCGATCTCATTGCAAGGCGCCCAGCTGACGTGTGGGAAAGAGCTGGGAGCAAGGCCTTCGCTGTGCAGAGCCGGCGTGAGCTGGCGCTGAAGATGTCGAAGAATGACGAGGAGGACGTCTACAGCGTCATGAGGGTCGTCTTGAAGGCGTTGAGCAACGAGGACAATGTCGACCCAGCGGAGGTGAACAGGCTCGAAGACGTCAGGAGCTAAGAGACAGCGCGATGACCCTGCTGGACGTCACCGAGATCTTCGCAAAAGTGCGCCGAGTCGGAGGAGGCGTCCAGCTCCAGCGGCCGCGAGTGAGAGAGCCCATTTGGAGCCCACTGACAACGCCAAGCGGTGCATTAGCGAGGTGATCTCGGAGTGCGACTCTAGGCTGGCAGGACGGGCAGACCCAGTGGCGCCACCACTAGCGGGGCCATCTCGGCGCGAGGACCCGTGAGAGAGAGCTCGCGCAGACAACATCTTGGGCAGTGGATTTTTGCTGCGCCGACAGGTGCACTAGTTCAGGGGGGACGGGGTTGAACAAAGACGATAACCACGAAAACCACCAGAGCGCACCCACAAGGGCCCCACCTCCAACAGACCGCGGCTACCAGCATGCTGTTCCCTACCTACACTTCGAGGCGGTCAGGGTACAGCTGCGACAAAGCATGGGGCAACTATCGCTTAGTTCGCTCTGGAAGGGAAGTGGGCCAAGGAGATGGAGGAATAGGATGGCGTAAAAACCAATTGGGTAATGGGGCCCCCCAGCAGAAGTTTGGGAAGCATGGGCCTCCTGATTATCCTCCGCTTCTCCTTTTGAGTGGTCGCGTCGTCAACTGTTCCCTCTAGCTTGGGAGCCCTGCTCGCCCTGCGCGCCCCCATTCCAAGGGCGCGCGGAAGGGCCAGCAGCTGCGCCCCCCGCGCTGACTCGCAGGGACTCGCGTTCGCAAGGCAGCGAGCCTTTCTTACGTGGCCACCTCGGAGCTCACCCCGCGAAGCTTCGGGGCATGCCCCCTGCTGGCCCTAATGAGAAGCCAGGGCCCTTGCACAACCGAAACCAGGGGATTTTGCCAGACGCGCGCAAGGCACCAGTCTAGGCGTGTTGACGCTGACCCCCATTCTGCGGATGTCCTGTCCTGTCCTGTCTCTTCTTCTTCTTCCTCCTCCTGCTCCTCCTCCTCGTGCTCCTCCTCCTCCTCCTCGTCCTCTTCTCCTCCCCGCCGCCCCCGGCGCGAGGGCGGCAACTGTGGGGCGGCAGCGCGGAGGGATGCGCATCCACACCTCGGGCTCCGCATGGCGCGCCCTCCTCCCGCGGCGAGGTGGGCCGCTCCTGGCGGAGCGGCCGTTCGGGTGCTGCTGGAGTCTCTCGGTTGTCGTAATACGGATTCGCGGGAGCGCTCAGCGTGCGAGCGCGGAGGAGCGACTTTGTGACATATCGGCGGAGTGTCGCCAAGTTGATTTGGTCTGTCTTCGTGGCACAAGGGGAGCGGGGAGGAGATCTGGACACAGTTCGGACAGCGCTGCCCTACCACACGGCCCTGCGCTCCGGATGGAGTCTCAGCCCCCGGCACGACTAAGAGGTGCGGTTGCACCATCCTTCTGCGCCGTCGTGTTTTCCGTGTTCCTCACGTGGTGGACACCCCTCCCGTGCCAGCGAAGTTGAAAGGGCGCGTCGCCTCGATGCGCCTTCGGAGCGGGCGATTTGATATCTTCGTGCCCATGGCGTACTTACTTCCCCCCGCGACCATTTAGCAGGCGGCAGACGGCGGAGTCTGCGCCTGCCGGCACGCTGCATCATGAGTACAGGGCCACGGTCGATGCCATCTCCGATTGGATCGAGAATGTCATGACCTGGGCTCGAGGGCGGTTTGCATTTCTTCCGGATTCGACTTGGACGATGGCTTCTGTCTCAAGCATCGGGGGAAGCAAGTACATGAGGAGGTTATTTCGGACGCGCTCGGCCCGCACGGACGTCAGGCGCAGCACTATGCCGCCGAACAGCTGGTCGAGATCCTCGAGCGAGCGGGTCGCCATGCGGGTCATCGACGGTGACTACGACATCGGCCCGACCTTCCACGGTGCGAAGAGGACAACCACAGCACAACCACGGGACAGCCACGGGACAACCACGGGACAACCACAGGACATCCACGGAACAATCGCGGGACAACCACGTGGCAACCGTAGGACCGTTGCGAGACAATCGCGGGGCAACCGCGGGACAGCTCCTCGCACGCTCTTGCAACCTTCCAGACAGTTTCGAGACAGCCGCAGGACAACCCTGCGCAAACCCCAGTCGTGTCGGGGACAGGCAGATTTTAGCTTGACATGGGCCCAGCTATAGGCGGGGAGTTCGCGTTGCTTCGCCTCGCTCGCACCGCGCGAGACCGAAACCGAAACCGATTTCCCAGTTGGGCGACTCCCTTTTCACTTCAACCTCAACCCCAAGCCTCCACCAGCGATTCCTCACCCTCCTCCTCCTCCTTCTCCCGGTCGATCTTGGGTCCCGGATGGACGTGGGCAGGGTTGGTGTAGCTGTGCGTACAGAGCTCGACGCTGCTACTTTTTCGCTACGTGCATCCCCGGAGGTCTTGACCTTATCCCCGGGGCTGGCTTCTGACCCCGAGTCATTCCTGTTGGCGGACCTGGAGCCCAGCGAGGGGCTTTAGAGCCCAAATAGTCAGCATTGCCCCAGTTGTCACGACGAAAGGGGGTCGGGGTCGCGATGTCAAGACATCGACCCCTGGATTTGTGCTGGGATGCTGTCTGGCCAGATTTTCATTGCGGGTCCACCCGTGGCTTTCGGCTTCCTAGATCATTTAAGATGGGGTCCGACTAGATGGGGTCGGAGGATCGCGCCGCATCGCCGATGCATCGACGATGCGGGTCGATGCGGAGCCCGATTTGCTTCACGCCGACGTCGCCGCTGGCGATGCGGTGCGATCCTCCGACCCCATTCGCTCTGACCCCTATCTAGGAGGCCTCTGGTTGCGACGCAGACGCCCCAGGGAGGTTCACAAAGACGACACGCGGCCGCAAGCCGGCGAGCACGAAGCTTTCAAAGCTGGGTACGTTTGGGTCGCTGGCGTCCTCCCAGCTCGTGGAGACAGGGCACGGGCCCCCGCACTGCCTCGGCTGGCACGGCTCGGCCACGCGCAGAGGGAGGCAGGGGGAGGGGGGCAGGCTTCCTAGGAATGTGAACGACGATCAATGGAGAGGAAGCATGTTGCCAAGTAATTTCCAGATGTAAAACAAGTTGAAGGCATGCCCTAAACATGTGCACAACATGGTTTAAGCATTTGAAGCATCCTTAATTCAATGATAGGATTTTTAGAGTGTCCACTGTCATGGCATCCACAATCCTAGGAAGCACCCCTGCTTCTCAGGAGGCGCGGGCCTTGTCTGTAGGTGTAGGGCCGGCGCCTTCTGAGCAGCAGCCTCCTTCTCAGAAGCCTTCCCTCCCCTTCCCCTGCCCCCTTGGCAGGGCTCGTTTCGATTCCTTCGATTCGTTTCGATTCGATTTAGGTGCATGCCGATGGCGATTCCATTCGCTGTTGGATTCCGATTTGGGCTCCAATTTGTCTCAGCGGAGCAATACTGTCATCTGCCGATTTCCGCCGAGTCGACCCCTCCCGACTTGGCTGTCGATTCGACTCGTCGATTCGACTCTGGGTCTTCTCCTCCCCTCTGTGTGAGCGCCCCCCCCAGCGAAAGGGGGGAGCTTCTGGGACAGGGGCGGGTCACGAGAGCGCACGCTGCGTGCCGCGGGTCCCGGGGCCTCGCCGCCAGCCCCGACTGGCAGGGCCGCCTCCAGCGCCGGGAGGCGCCGGGAGGCCCAGCTACGTTCGAGGCTTGAGCCGGGCCTGTCCCTCTACAGGAGGAAGGTTCAAAAACTGTCCACAAAATAGTCAGGGGATGATTTTTGATTATATTTGACCATTCTGGAGTATTTTTAGACAATTTTTAATTTTTCGCCCAAAATCCCCCTGTAGGAGGACACGCCCGACCTACAGGTGGGCATGTCCCTCTACACTCTCGTCGTTGAAAGTAGGTATTCGCTCCCGGATCCCAATCTACTTCCAGCGCCTTCCCACTTCAGGAGTCTGGTGTGCTTGTTCTTCTCTGGGAGGGCCTGGGCCCAAATCTACTTGATCCGCCTTCCTGCTCCGTGCGTTTACCTACTTCTTCCGACCGATGTGTACAGGGAGAATAGTCAAACATAGTCAACACATAGTCTGGGGACAAGTTTCCAGTATTTTGAACAATTGTTCAATGACTATTTTTGTTTCTTTTTCTCCACCGCCAAAAATCCGCCTGTAGGAGGACATGCCCGACCTAAAGCTACATGCATCGGGGGTCCCATGAACGGAGGCGGCGATGGTCGGCGGCGAGCGAGGGGGGAAGTGAAGAAGGAGAAGGCCTTCTCCGAGGGCGGCGGGGCTTCTCAGAAGCCCCCGCGCCTTCTGAGGAAGTCTTGTGCGGCTGGCCCTCGCCCCCTCTTGCGTGCGCCACCGACCGTTCCAAGGCCCTCGAAGGCGGACGAGTCGCCACCCCTCCCCTGCCCTTGGCTGTGCCCCCCCCCGCTCTTCGCCCGACCTGGTGTGGGATCGCGGGCGAGACCTTTGCGTTGGCGGCGAGGCAGGGGAAGTCTGCGCTAGCGGAAATGCCTAAACGGAGGTGCCGTTATGGCGAATTGTGCCACCATGCAAGAGCTCGCGGGCGAGACACGCATCCGTATCCGCGGCCTCTCGGGCCCCTGGCCGCGGCCCTGCGGATGCGGCTTCTGAGAAGTCCCGCCGCCTTCTGAGGAGGCCTTCCCTCCTTCTCGCTTCCCCCCCTCGCTCGCCACCGAGTTTCTGGGCTGCCCCGCGCGGACACTCTTGCAACAAATCATGCGGGGATCTCTCGCAAGCATGCGCTGTGCTGGCACGGCAACGATGCGCCGAACGAGTGTGATAAAACAATGTGTGATAAAACAGCGTGTTTGTTATCACACTTTCTTTTTGTATCTCACTTGTTTTTTTTATCACACTTGTTTTTTATCACGCTTGATTTTTATCACACTTGTTCGGAGTAGGCGTGCGCCCGCATCCGGCTGGATCGCGCCCCGGAGCCCAGACCGCGGTGCAGGGTAGCCGGGAGGCGCCGGGAGGCGCCGGGAAGCGCTGGGCCAGGTGCCTGCATTTGGCTGGTCACCGGCAGCCGTGATGATCCTTCCCCCTCCTCCTCCTCCTCCTCCTCCTCCTCCTCCTCCTCCTCCTCCTCCTCCTCCTCCTCCTCCTCCTCCTCACGTCTCCTCCCCCGTTTCATGTTCGCCGCCCGCGTGCATTGTTGACATATGCGCAGACTCGTAGCAGGGTTCGGGCCAAACGCTCTTTGGGCGATTCCGCGGACCGCTGTCGTTCTGCGTTCCGTTCCGCAGCAAGGGCAGCACGAAGGCAGGACGCAGGACAAGGAGCACAGGGCGAAGACGAAGCACGCGCTGCAGCTCGAGCCTGGAGCTTCAGCCGATCGTTTCTGCATCGTTCTCCACCCCCCCTTCCCCTTCCGACCCGATCTGGCAGGCAGGGCGCGGGCGCGGGGCAAGGGGCGCCCCTCGGCGCAGGAGGCCGCGGCCTCGGAGTGCGGCTGCCTGCGGGAGGACCTGGCCGCGGAGCGGCAGCGGGCGGTGGACTCCGAGGCGGCCGTGGGGGTCCAACAGACTCCCCCCCCCCTCGCGCCGCGCTCTGCCCCAGGCGAGAAGTCGCGCCGCTAAACAGAGTCGCGCCGTCAAACGAAAACACGATCGCGTCCTGAAGGCATCCCCAGACGTCTGGCGCCTCGGTTGTTTCGAGAGACGGGCCCCCGACCTCGACCACCTCCCTGGGGCCGGTGTCTCATCCCGAGGCGTCGTTTGACGGTCCCGAGGCCCGGCAGGGGCCCCGAGAGGCCGAAAACTGTGAAACAAATCTCAGAGCGTGAATTACCTACCCCGCTTTCGCTTCCAGGCAAAACCAAGTTATACCATAGGCCTCCTCGTCAAGCGGCCTGACCAGTACAGGCCGTAGTTTGGCATCGCTTGGTATCTCTTGGAAGCGAGGGTGGTCAAAAGCGAGGTAGGTTTGTTTGCCCCCTAAGATCCGTCTCGTTCTTCGCCCGATGTCCAGGTCTTTTGTGTTACCGTCAGGGCCGCCCCCGTACAGCTGGCACGAGGTTTGAGAACAGCCCTTGTGTTTGTCGGCGGCGAGCGAAGGGGGGCAGTGAGAAGGAGAAGGCCTTCTCAGAAGGCTTGGAAGTCCCCCGGCCTTCTGAGAAGTTCTCTGAACCTTCCCCGAAGACACTTGTTGCGTCGGTGGCCATGCAGAGTGACTGCGCTGGCGGAAGAGGCATAACGTGGCAAACGGTACGCGAATTGGGCCACCATCCCGAAGACAAAGAAGACTTCTCAGAAGCTTCCGAGAAGTCCCGCCGCCCTCGGAGAAGGCCTTCTCCTTCTCGTGCCCGCCGCCGAATTGGAGGGGTACCCTGTCCTCCTTCGTGTTCGGCTCTCAGCCGTGGGATGGCCCTTGTTTTTTGTTGGGTACCTCCATGGTGCCTCGGGCCGTCGGCGCAGAGGCCCATAGCTATGCTCCTGACCCGCGCTCCTGTGGCCCTGCTTCGACGATACCACTTGCCCAGCGTCAGGTCGGGCAGATTCTCCTACCTGCGAGTTGTGGAATAACGGTGAAAAGCAGTCAAACATTGCTCGAACATATCCAAACACAGTCGACACGCCGTCTGCTTCTCTTTGAACATTCCACCCGCAGAGGGACGTGCCCCACTGGGAGCCCGGCGGGGCCTCGGCTGCTTATAGGCACCTGCCGCGGGGCGCCTCGACGGGCCGCTGCGCAGGGCGAGGCATGGGAGGGCCTGCCGGCCGTGGTCCCGAGAGGGGCGCCTTCGCCGGACATGAGGGTTTTTTTTTCCGGCAGACTCGGGCCAGTCTTCAGGAGAGGAGAAAGCACACAGACACAATTTTATTCGTCGACTCCCAGGAAAGCATAGGAAAATATAGGAAGTGGGGGGGAAGACAAAAACCCAGAACATATAGGAAACTATGGGGAATATTCTCATTTGTGTATATATATGTATATATAGCTCTGGCTCGAGTTTTCCGGAGTTCGACAGAGCGTGGACGTTATGCCCACTGTCCTGAAAGTCGGGCTTCTATGTGACACACTGACAGTCTACATGCGTCTCATTTCATGGAATCCGATGTCTCTGCAAGATTACGACAAACGCCTGGAGATTTCTAAGGAGCTCGAACACATAGATGCCGTCCTCCTCTCTGGAACGCAGACCAAGACCGCGTCCCCCTACGAGACGCACTCGACAGCGGAGTTTTTCATGCTGAAGTTTGGATGGCATCGCAGTATTAAGAACACGACAGGCAACAAATCATGCGGCACCGAGATCTGGCTGAGCAGACGATGGTTTCGGAAGACACACATAGTCAAGATCTGGCAGCCTCCACCCGCTCTACGCGGCCGTATAGGCGCCACGCGCGTGAAGAGCGCGCTGTTTGACTTCACCTTCATCACGGCATACTTCCCGCCGAGATCGCAGCGCATCACCACTGCCTCTAAGAACGAAGTCATAATTGACAAAATGCTCAGCTATCTGCATGACATCGTCTCGAACCTGCCGAACCGCACTTGCGTGTTCATTGGCACCGACCTGAACGACAGCCTCGCACGCACCCACCTGACAGAGGACGACGACGCCACCATAGGTGTTCATGCATACGGTCAGCAGCACTACGCGGGCGAAGCGTTCCACACGTTCCTGAAGGACTACGCCCTGTGCGCAGCGAACACCCACCATCCGTGCGGCCCTACTTATCACGGCCTACGAGGGCACTCGAGTTGCATCGACTACCTGGTGATGCCGATACGCTATCTACCGCGAGTACGACGCCACAACATCGCCTACCGCCTGACCAAAGGGCTCCGAGCATTCCCGTCTCAGCGGCTAATGGATCACATGATGCTGTACATCGACGCGGACTGCACCCTAACATACGACAAGCCCCGGACAACACCGCAGTGGGACTACACACGCATATTCTTGGCCTGGAAGGATAGACGATTCTACGAATGGGCAAAGCGTCTACGCGACGACATCGAGGCTGACCTGTCGAACTACCTCAACGAGAACGGCTACCGTGATATGGCAGACTGGGCTGAAAGACGCACGATGGAATCTGGATGGCAACTTTTGGTATCTAAGATACGCACACGAGCGCTGGAATATTTTGAAGCAAGAAAGTCCACGACTGAGCTAGAGTACCAGCAGCTAGCCGAGCAACGTCGCCAAGCCCTACACGCACGTACACAAGCTCGACAGACTTTAACATACGACCTAGAGGACACGATGGCTCTTCACCGCTGCAGCGCTGCCTGCAGAAAACTTCGGCGTCGACTACGCGACCTCCGAGATGAACAGCACTTTCGCGAACTACAACAAGCCGATGAGGCAGGACTGGAAGCAGAGGTTTGGCGAGCGTGTCGACGCCTTGCAGGCAATGGAAAGGGCCCTGGCAAACGGTGCTACTTCGACCTCCCCGACGCGCGCCCCTCTGTTCAAACATGGACTGAAGATGTGGCACTTCCTGGCGCAGAAGGAGGAATGGAGGCGGCACCGATTGATATCGAGCACTTCATCGACACCGCTGCGTCGAATGACGTGCGTTTCTGCCCTTCTGCACATCAGTGGAGACACGCCCAGTATGACTTCGATGCGATCAAACGACAGCTACGGAAGCATTGCGAACGCCGACGAGCTGCTCCAGAATGGTCGCTACCTGCAGAAAGATGGTCTCTTTTGCTCGTCGATAGAAGTGGTGATTGTAAAAAAGACGGCAGCCGCGAGTACGACCACGCGATGACTTTCCCTGGCCCCCTACTCAGCGATGCGATCCTCACCCAACTTGCTGCGGTTCGCCAGCACCTATATCAGACTTATCAAGTAAGCAAGATGAGCAATGAACCACGCACACGAGGCACTCGACTACTACATGGATTATGTACGTTTGGAAAGACATGGGTTGCCTCAAGACAGCCACTCACATCCACACCATTGCATGACACTGAGCACGGCTACGCGCGAGCACGTTCACGCTCAGCAGCGATTACAGTCGGGTTAGCACTGCAGCGGCGCCTCACCAAGCAGCAACGAAGCCACATTACCACGAAGCACGACATGACGAACGCTTTCGCTTCAGTGAACCATTCCCACCTCGACGACACTGTGGACAGGATATGCCTACCTGGCGACTGTACGATCATGAAACGCAGGCATCGTCGAGCAGCGTGTGTGATTAGCGACGGGATTGACACTCAGGGTTACCAGAACACCGTAGGCTGCTTCACGGGAGACGCCGACGCTGCGATCAAGTTCCGCGTGGCCTTCATGCAGCCCACTACCGAATGGAATGAAGCACTCACTACCGATGCCAGTACATCAATGGTTGCGGGCTGCGAGTCCACTGGCACCAACGTCGACCTCAGCGCTCGCAAGTACGCCGACGACCTAACCAAGACCCACATGTGTCACGATGCGCAGATGGCGGCCTACAAAGTCCAACAATCCGACCAGATCCTGAACGATAAGCTGCGCACCATCGGATTGCAGCAGAACGCGGGGAAAAAAAGGCTCTTCTACCGACGTTCGTCGGCACTGGCGCTCACAGGTACGCACGTGCCCTGCATGATCGCAAGATGCCAGTGGACGGCGAAGTACATTCCTCGACCCTGTTCTTGGGCTCCATCATGCAGGCGAACGGCCACAACCACGCCGAAGTTAAAGACAGGTGTATTGCTGCGGCTCGCGGATGGCGTAGTATGGGACGTTTCTGGAAGAACTGCCGATATCTGAGACGTCGCAAAATGGTCTTCAGAAGTCAGGTATTATCAGCCGCCACCTCTGGGCTCGAAGCACGTGTACTGACAAAAGCGCAACTCGATCAGATAGACGCCTGTGTAGCCCGGTACGCTAGAGCTCTACTTCAAGGTACCGCATGCATCAAGCAGCCCGCCGACGACGACGCCACCTCTGGCACCGCCGGGGTTGTTCGCAATATCTCATCTCAGGCAGTATGGAACACATTGAAGATGGTACCGCCTTCCCTGGACATACAGATCGCACGCATCAAGCGATGGCAACGAGCTGCGCGCGAACCCGACCAGCACGCACAACTACTAGCATGTGTTTTTGGCAAACTACTCTGCGAGTCAACGACGACGTTGGACTTCGCCTGGGCCCTTGTGCACACAGAATCTACAGACAATGCTCGTGGCTCCTCAGAGAGTAACGGCCCCACACATATAGCCAACCCTTGGCGCAAGCAGTTCTTTGATGACGTGAAGTTGCTGAATGTATTTGCAGACGGACGAGCATGCCTTGACGTCATTGGCGACGATCTGCTTGACATGTTTCGACCGACGCCTGGTCGAGACGTGTGTGTCACGCTAACAATTGCACGTGCACGAAAGTGGTGGATTGCACAGCCTGCCCCACCACCCCGTAGTACTCCAGATGCAACCGTCGCCTGGAGCAGTCCCCATACGTGTGGCCTTCTATGCGCGGATGGAGCGCTATGCCTGTTCACAGCCGAAACAAAACAAGCGCTCCGAGTACACCAAACGACGAGTGGGGAGGGAGGCGAGCACGGCCGAATATGCGAACATACGAGATTCACGATTACGAACCAATGCCCTAACTGCCGACCGACCTTCGCGAGCCGACAGACAGCGATCAATCATCTTGCTGTTGCTTATCGTTCTGGGCGATGCCAAAAAACACCGCTCTGTATACAACTTCGAGGTGAACGATCCTCCGCAGCTGTTTTGCCCAAGTGACGTCTGCGAGCTCACCTTCGCTACCCTCGACGAGTTGCAAGCTCACATTGCGACTGAACACCTTCCCGGACCTCGCCCTCATGTCGTGGATGAGCTCGCTGCCCAACGCTGGAGAGCCCGCAGGCGCAGCCGCGGCAGAAGCGGCACGGCCTGCTCACAAGTCCCGACGCCGCCAGCCCAACGGCCGTGGAAACCAGCAGAGTGGGTCGAAGTCCAAGATGGTGGACCTGCAGTCGCTCGACCTGGAGGAGATGGAACTGAAAGGTATTCAGCGCATGCTCCCCATTGTCCTGAAGCTACTACTCAACGTTGCGATGAGGCAACGCCAGACCGACGCCATACTGATCAAGACGTACCTCGTCTCACCTGGCACGAGAAGCGTCGCGGCGATCCGAGCTCGCGTTCGCGCATGGGTAAAAAGAGCCGAAGAGATACGAAGCACGACGACGGCACAGCAGATCGATGCGGAGCTGGCGAAGATCGGCACGATCAGCACCGCAGCCTTCGCAGGTCTGCTCGAAGGTCTACATCTGGAAGGCGCGTCCGCCGGCGGCCTCAACCCGCAGAACCTGGCAGCGCTGGGCGAGAAGCTGAAAACCGTGGACATCAAGCAGGTCGTCGAGCTCGTCCCGCTTGTGAAGGCCAGCGACACACGATGCTGCGCAGTGCAAGCTCCAGATCAGCCTCAACCCCAAGAGCGACGTCGACCCCAGTGTGATTCACGAATCACTCATCCAGACGGGAGCGATCTACAAGCCAGGCCAGGGACCGATGGTGCACATGGAGAGGATCCTTCACACGAAGCTGACGCAGCTAGAGGACGTGACCATGGGATAGATCTCTACGCCTTCGACGTGGCAAGGTATGGACGCGCGCAATGGGACCCTTGTATTCCGAAGGATACTGCGACGACAAGCAAGGGGGGCCTCTCGACTGCTTCTGGGCATGCGCCAGCTCCTACGCCTACCGTTCAGGGCATGGAGAGCCCACCACGCGCAACCCCGAATGCGCTTCCTCCGACGCCAGCAGTTCAGGGCATGGGGTGCCCACAGAGTGCGCCTACACCATCAGTTGTTCAGGGCCTGGAGTTCCCACCTTTTGATTCACAGAGTGCGCCTACTTCAGTTGTTCAGGGCGTGGAGAGCCCACCTATTGCATCACAGAGTGCGCCGACCTTCTTACGCCAACAGTTCAAGGCATGGGAGGCCCACCTCAAGCCTCACGGAGTGCGTTCACCACTACTGCAGTTGTTCAGGGCATGGACTGCCCACCTATTGCATCCACGAGTGTACCCTCAGCAGCGGTTCAGGGCATGGGAAGCCCACGCCGAACACCTACGTGCGCTACCCCTTCGCGTACTACTCGTACTGAGATGTGGACAGCTTCGCTGTTAGCACATGCCCGCGCCCTTGCCCAGGACGGAAAGCAGAGACGCCCTGAGGACCATGTGCCTAGCCTGCCCAGTACCCATGAACCCCCTCCTCCGTCCTCTGAGCCTCCTCTTCTTCCTCCTCCTCCTAAGAGGCCCCGCAGGCCTTCCGCCCCACCGCCAGCTCGCAATACTTCTACATATAATTCCCGTGGCACGTCTTTTCCTTCCACCGCTGCCAGACAAAGCACAGGTGGCGACTCAAGGACGATGGATGCCATCATGAGACTTGTAGGAACGAGCAGGCGCTAAGACCTGCGTTTCGTTTCCTGTCAGTGTGTGTGACCGCGTGGTATATTTCCGGGTGTAGCCCGATCCTAGAGGCACTCAGCGTCAGAGACATCCGTACTGCTGCTTCCGAGGGGTCCGATCCGATCCGATATATATATATATATATATATATATATATGTGTGTGTGTGTGTCCCAGGGCCCCTTCATTTTGGTTGCATGGAGGAGGGGGGGGCGCGGCGAGGGCCCGACAGGACACCTGGGTTCCGCGCAGGTCGGGACACACTTGCACGCCTTTTCGCTCCAGCGCTGACTGAAAAGGCGGCGGCGGGGTGGAGTGGAGTGGGGTGGAGGGGGGGGGGGGGGGGGGCGAAGTGCAGTGCAAGTGGACTTACCCGAGTCGAAAGTAGAACGACCTCCATAAAGTAGGTCGAACACCTTCCATCGGTGGCGAGCCCAGGGGGAAGCCGCAGGGGTCGGGCCCTCTCAGAAGGCCTGGAAGGCCTCCAGCCGTCCGAGAAGATTCCGTCGTAGCCTTCCCCGGAAACGGGGACGGCTTCCCAGAGGGCGCGAGGGCTTCTGAGCAGCCCCGCCGCCTTCTGAGGAGGCCGGCCCCCTCTCGCTTCCCCCCCTGGTCTCGCTGCCAGAGTCAGGTCGGGCATGTCCTCTTACAGGCGGATTTGGGACGAGAATAGAAAATAGCAAAAATATACACAAACATATTTCAAAATAGTAGAAATATGGTTCCCATACTATTTTCCACTATTTGGAATCTTCCTCCTGTAGAGGGGCGTGCCCGACTTAACGCCAGAGAACGCCCTCCAGCTCAGGGACCCCCCCGCCGCACCATCGGCGGTGCGCGTCGACCAGAGCCCTGGACCCCATCTGTCTGCGGCATTCTGCCAGCCCGACTGCTTTTTGATGGTCCCGGCATCCGAACCCAGACAGGATCGCGTCGACATAAAATCAGGACGGCAAGCTTTTTGCCAATTTCGGCCTCGGGGGGCCCTCGCCGGGCCTCGGGACCGTCAACAAAACGACTCGGGATGAAAAACCGACCCCAGGGAAGGGGGCTGGACTTCTGGGGAAGGCGTCCTGGAAAAAGTTAGGACGTCGCATGTCTGGGAAGCTTGGCGAGCGCGTCTGGTGCGAAACAAAAAGGGGGGCGCCGGGAGCTCGGGGCTACCCGACGGCCTGGAGCCCCCCCCGCTCGGGGGCGCCCCGACCGCTCCAGCCCTCCGCCACAGCCGGCGACTACAGGCAGGCGGGGTGCTGTTGCGATCCGCGTCGGCTGGGGCCCGGGGGGGGGCACCATTGTGGCCCTCGCCGTAGGTCGCGGCATGCCCCATCTACAGAAGGAACACTGGAAATCGTCCAAAATAGTCTGGGGACGATTTTCTATTATCTGTGATCATGTTCGAGCATTGTTTGAGTATTTTTCATGTTTCGTCAACAATCCGCCTGTAGGAGGACATGCCCGACCCAAGACTACAAGAAGGAGGGGTGCTGTTTGCGATCCGCGGCGGTTTGGGGGCCTGGGGGCACCAGAGGGCCCTCATCGGGCCGCCCCGGTGCGCGGCGGAGGCTTCCGTCGAGGTCCTCGCGCGCACCCCAGGGCGCGCGTTGTACAGTGGAGGCCCACTCGATGGGTTTGCTACGGAAAGCGTGGCGCTCGGGCACCAAAAATCAAGGCACGTCCTGGGGGGGTCTCAGGGTTAGGTTTCTCCTGGAAGGTTTCTTGTGGACGAGCCCCTTCTGTGAGCCATGCCTTTGCTTCAGGCCTCCTGGATGGGGTCGGAGTAGATGGGGTCGGAGGATCGCGCCGCATCGGCGATGCATCGGCGATGCACTGGCGATGCATCGGCGATGTGGCTCGATGTGGGGCCCGATTTTCTCCACGCCGACGTCGCCGATGCACCGCCGACGTCGGTAGTGCATCGGCGATGCATCGCCGATGCACCGCCGACGTCGCCGATGTATGAGCGATGCAGCGAGATCCTCCAACCCCATCCACTCGGACCCCATCTGGGAGGCCTTCATTTCTGTAGACGCGCTAACGGCGACGTAGGTAACGGCGATGTAGGTTTCGGTTTTGTGGGAACGCGTGGCTCGTGCTTTCCTGCAATTCGCTGTGTCGTTTTCGTGCGATACATTCGCACATTGGAAATGCAACAAAGTGTGGTTCGTGACATCCCACAATCTGGTTCCCAACATCACCGTGAAGTAACCTCGCCGTTAGCGTGGCCTTGGCATGTGCAAGCCACACCCTCCAGAGTTGCCCTCACCATCGGCGAGGGGCGCCTCGACCGCTCCACTCGCCCTCCGCCCGCGCTGCCGCCCGCAGGCCGCGACTCGGGCCTACCACGCCGAGGCCGCGGACGCGGCCGCGCGTACCCGGCCCCGGCCTCGGCCGGCGCCGGCCCGGCTGCCTCCTCCTGCAGGGGCAACGAGTGTCCAGGCCTCCCAGGTGGGGTCGGGGTGGACTGGGCTGGAGGATCGCGCCGCAGCGCGGATGCAACGCCGATGCGGCTCGATGTGGAGCCCATTTTCTTTCACGTTGACGTCGCCGATGCATCGCCCACGTCGAAAATGCATCGCCGGTGCATCGCCGATGCATCGCCGATGCATCGGCGATGCATCGGCGATCCTCCGACCCCATCTACTCGGACCCCACTTAGGAGGCCTCTAGATCGGGGGGGTGATCGGTTCGAGATTCGTCCATGGGATCCTCGGGCGGCGCCAGTGAAATCAGCTTCTGCTGCGTTCGGGCCATGTTTGGACCGCCCTTTGCCCTCCCTCCTGCTCCTCCTCGCCCTTCCTGTACCTTTCTCCTCCTCGCTCTTCTCGTCTCTCGTTTCAGAGAGGGCGAGTCCGGCCCAAAGCTGGTCCCACATGTGTTCCAAATGTTGCCCAAACCAGGCCCAAATCGGACAGCGCGGGGGGCCAAGCAGGCTCCCATGGAACGGACATCGAGGATCGGCTCAGTGGGGGAGGCATCGAAGCTTCGAGGTTGGAGGTTCCCGGGCGTTCTCGTCGGCCCTCGTCGGCTTTTTCCAGCCTCGGGGCGCCTTCGGGCAGCTGCGCCTCGCGGAGGGCACCCTGGGGGGGGCCCAGATCGCCCCCAACGGCCACCGGAGAGCCGAGGGAGGACCCGAAAACCACAGGGTATAAGCTACAGGGCGCAGGGGGTGGGATCGGGGGCGGGGCGCATCGACCCCGATCGCCCATTCGGCGCCGCCGGCCGGGGCCCAAAGAGCCCACCCCGCCCAGGGACGTGCTGATTCGCGATCGGGGGCCTATCGCCGATCCACCGGCGATGTGTCGCCGATGCCAGGGTGGCGTCCCTCTTTGCAGCCGGGCCCCCGCTATCGTTAAGTCGGGCCCGCCTCGCCTCTAAGAGGACCTGCCTGACCTAACGCTATCGTTGCCCCGCACCCCTGGCCAATGTTATACGTGAGAGTGACCCTTCGCCAGAGAGTGACCCCTGGTGCGCCCAGGGAGGGGGGAAGCCCAAGCGCGCAGGCTGCTACTGTTAAGCCGGGCGTGCCCCTCTACAGGAGGAATACTCGAACATAGCTTTCGACAAAGTGTCCGGGGACGGCTTCCGACTATTTGGGACCATTCTTGCTTCCTTTAAATGTCTGACTTTTTGGTAGTTCTGTCCTCCGAAAGCCGACCGCAGCAGGACACGCCCGACCTGACAGTTATTGCAGCAGCGCGCGCAGCGGTCGGCAGGCCGAGCCACTGGAGGCCACCCTTGGCCCTGGGGCCACCTCTGCGTTTGGCCGACGAGAGCCGAGAGGGCTCTCGATGTGTCCCCACGGAAGAGCGGGGATCGACGTTCCTGGGCACCCTTCTTGATTGCAATGGTCTCCGGCCAGTTCCGCCGATCCGGGGGGCTCCGGATTCGGTGATCTTCGCGGTTTTGTGGCCTCCTCCCTCCTCGATTCTTCCGGTCCTTTCTGAGCGCCACAGGCCACTCAGGCCCAGGGCCACTTCTGCGTTTAGCCGATGAGAGCCGAGAGGGCTTTGGATCAAGCAGTGGCGAAGCGTCTTGGCTCGCCTATATCGGTGGTAGACAGAGCTCCTACCCTGACACGTCGATTCGCGATAGGGCGTCGCGGCCGTCATTTTTGCGGGTCCAGGTCCTTGGGTTTCGGTCCCAGGCCTTTCTCACTAAGGGGAGGTCTACTACAGGGAGGTTTGTCCACCGCCGACTATACGCCCACCAAAACATGCTCTAATATCCTTTTGTGGTATGCACGAAATGTTCTCAGAGCATTTATGGCTGGGAGTGTCTCGTTTTATCACCTCGGTTTATGTTTCCAGGAGTTCTTAGAACATTTTTGGGTTCTAAGAACATTTCGTGGTAGGACTATAGGAATGAATGTGTCCCCACCTCTCCAGATGGGTGGAAGATCGGGGATCGATATTCCTGGGCACCCTTCTTGATTTTCGGTGGGGCTCAGGGAAGCTTTTTGTCGCCACGACCGGCTCCGCTTCAGGTTCCGGTCGGGACGCACCCGCGGAGAGGTCCAGGGGCTTGGATGGAAGAAACTCAGGGATCCCGACCCCTGTCGAAGGCCTGGGGGGTGGATCCACTTCAAGACCCTTGTTGGGCGATGGATTATTGGCCACAAAATCCGAGGTTCTACCTCCAGTGCCCTCGTCTCCTCCACCTCCTTGCCCCTCCTGGTCGAGTCTTCCTGCCTTCGGACCCGCTTTGTGGGCGTCGGCTTCGGCTTTGAGATTCAGTATCTTGATTCAGTGATCTCTCGTCCCAGAGCGCACGGACTGACGGCTTCGAGTTACCATACCTGTCATAAGCTTAGGGCTGAGCCTCAGTCCCAGCCCCACATCCATGGTACACATAGAGCAGTGCTATCTTATGTAGGCCTGGCGCTCTGCTCTGCTAGCGTTTCAGTTTCTTTCGCAATCCAATCGACAGCAATCAGTTAACCCGCGCGACTCGCCCCCCCCCCCCCCGGGTGTGTGGACTACTCCCCCTCCTCCATCTTTCAGGGCGCTGGAAACCAACACTCTGCCAGATCCAGCGGACGAGGACGAATCATGAAGCTTCTTTCGACCCAAGGCTGCAGTTTCCTCAGTTCCCCCACCTGAGTACGTGGACTCTTCCTCCTCCATCCTTCCAGGCACCAGAAACCAGTACACTGCCAGATCCAGCGGGCGAGGATGCATCGTGGAGATTCTTTCTACCCAAGGCTGCAATTTCCTCGGCCCCCCACTTTCCAAGACATGCGACGTCCTGATTTTTCCAGTACGGCGTCCCCGGAAGTGCACACCCTTTCCCAGAGGCTTGCTTTTCATCTTGGGTCGTTTGTTGACGGTCCCAAGGCCCTGCGAGGACCCCCCGAGGCCGAAATTGACCAAAAACCTCGCGCCATGTTTTTTTTGTTGACGGCGCGATCATGTCTGGGTTGGGTACGTGGACTCCTCCACCTCCATCCCTTGGTGCACCAGCAGCCAGCAACTTGCTTTGCGTGGGAGAGGGTGCGGCGCGCCGAAGGCGCCTCCCCGCACCCGCCCCGCGCGAGCGGCAGCTGCCGTGTAGCCGCCGTCGCCGTCGACGGTCGCGTCTGGCTGGCTGCTTCTCTTTTCCTCTGCCTGGGCCCCGGAGCCCCTCCGCGGGCGTGCGCGAGGCCAACGCAGCACCCAGCACCCGGAACCTAGAACCCCAGACGCGCGACGTCCTGTTTTTTTTTCAGGACGGCGTCCCCCGAAGTCCAGACCCTTTCCCCGGGGCCGGCTTTTCATCCCGAGTCGTTTTGTTGAGGGTCTCGGGGCCCGGCGAAGGGCCCCAGGAGGGGCCGAACATCATGAAAAGTTGCCGTCTGACTTTGGAACGACGCGATCATGTCTGGGACCAGCTCAGCATTGTTTAACCGATCCCTATCCCCATACCCCTCCCCATTCCCATCCCGTGCATCGCACCACCCCAGTTGTGGATATGCCCCTCGGAGCGCGTGGGGCACCGCCTGTAGCCCCATCTAGAGTGGCAGATCGGCCAGGGGGGCCCAGGCCACGCCAGTGGGGATAGGGATCGGTGAAACAATGCTCACTAGCACCTTGCCAGATCCATCGGGCGAGGGCGCGTCTTGGACCGTTCTCTCGACCCACAAAGCGGCTGCAGCTCTCTTCCCCTCGGGCGTGCCAGTGTTGTCTATTGGTGGGCGGTGGGCCCTGGCATCCGCGGACAGCTCCGCCGGGGACCTTCCCCGAGGCTCTGGGCTCACGCCGTGGGCGTCGTGTGATGGGGGGGGGGGGGGCGGCAGATGGCCCAGACAGGATCGCGTCGTAACAAAGTCAGGGCGGCAAGTTTTTCGCTATTTTCGGATCCTGCAGGGGCCCGCGCCGGGCCCCAGGACCGCCAAAACAATAATTACTCAGGATGAAAAACCGGCCACGGGGAAAGGAAGGGAGGACGTCGCATGTCTGGGGGGGGGGGGGCAGCGATGGCCCACAGAAAAGGGACCCGCTCAGGCCCAAAAGGGGGCATCTAAGGCCCAAGAAGTGCACCTTTCTCCCCCCCCCCCTCTCATTCATCGCCCCCCATGAAGCGACGCCCGACCGCCCTCGGCGGCGAGCCCGGGGGGGGAAGTGGGGGGGGGTCCCGACCTGGGCTCCTGGGGCTCGTGAAGCCCCCCCCGGCCGTCGCAGAGGGCTTGGAAGTCCCCCCCGGCCTCCGGAGCTTTGCCCCGCGAAGACACGGAAGGCTTCGGAGAATTCCCGCCGCCTTTGAGAAGGCCTTCTCCTTCTCTTTTCCCCCCCCCCTCGCTCGCTCGCCGAATCCCGCCCAGGGGGACTTAAGACCGTCGGAGGGAGTTGGTCGGGAGCGTTCCGCCAAGGGTCTGCTACGAGCAGCTGGCCGCCCAGGCCGCGGAGCTGTCGGCGGCCAAGGCTGCCATCGCGGCTGCCCTGGAGGAGGAGCTCAGACTCAAGTCGGGCCTGTCCCTCTACAGGAGGAATATCCAAAAGCAGTCAAGAAATAGCCTGGAGACGATTTTATATATATATATATATATATATAAAAAAAATGATGTTTCCAGATCTGTTTTGGGTATCTTTCATCGTTCCTCCAGATTCCGCCAGTAGAAGGACATGCCTGACCTACGCTCAGACCCGGACGACGAAACCTGGACGATCCCCAGCCTGGGGCCTGGGGCCATATCCCGCGAGGTTTGGCAGTCGTGCTCCATATCCGGCTCTGGCGGGGCGCGCGCCCTCCAGCCCCAGCGCAGCGCCTCCCCCATGGTCGCGTCGTGAAAACATCAGGACGGGAGGTTCTTCGCCGCTTTCGGCCTCCGGAGGCCCTCGCTGGGCCCCAGGACCGTCAAACAACGAGTCGGGATGAAAATCCGGTCCCAGGGAAAGGGCCTGGACTTCCGGGGACGCCGTACCGAAAAAATCACGACGTCGCATGTCTGGGCCACTCACGGATCCCCCCGGCTTCTGGGCAGAGACTGGGCACGGAGGCCCGAGGCTGGGAGTTATGTCGTGTCCACCGCCCAGGGGGGCCGCTCGCCCCGAGGGGGCAGGAGGGGAGCGGTGGCGTGGTGGGGGGAGCGACTCGGGGCGTTCGAGTGTCCTCGTCTGGCCGCCTGGCCGAGCTGCCGCACGTCAGGTCCGGTTGACGTCCCGCTGGGGGCAGGGGCTCTGGCGCCGAGGGCGCGGAGCAACGGCCACGGCGGCAGCGGCATGAGATGGGGTGGAGGATGTGGTGGAGGAGGGGGACGAGGTGGAGGCGGAGGATGGGGTTGCGTTTGGCTGAATGCGAGCCCTCCTGTCCGCAGTCCGTCAGGGAAGGATAGCCCTTGCTGCCCGGAAGTGCAGTCTTTTGCTGGTGGTTGCCCTTGCAACTCTGGTCGTGTAGCAGCTGGCCACGTAATACTTGCCTGGAGGAGGGGGGGAGCTGGGAAGGAGGGAATGAGGACAAGGATGAGAATGGGTACGACTATGGCACGCGCGTGTGCTCTTCCAGCACCCCCCCCCTCGCCTGCGCTGGAGCCTGAGCGCGCGCGCGCGATGCGCGCACGATGGTTCAGACATAACTCTATCTCTCTCTCTCTCTTTCCCCTTCTCCCGCCCTCCCTCTCAGGGGAGGGCCCCAGACGGGGCGCTCCCCGACACGTCTTTGCTGCAGTGCCACAATCATCCGCGAGGAGCCACCCTTCTCGCGGCTCACACTTTCTACGATGTGGAGTGAGGCCCGATCCCTGTGGAAGTGTCGGGTTAGCGGACGCTGAGCACGTAACTGGGCATCGCTTGAGGCGAGAGATTTGCCTTTGCCAGCCCAGCCCTGTTCAGGCCCCAGCGGCGAGCACCCAGTTTCGGGAGAACGGGGATTCCTTCTCCCTTGTCCAGCGCGAAGCTGTGCGTGTGGCGTGTGGTGCTGCTTCGAGGCCGGAGGCCCCCAGGGGCCCCAGGCACGATCCCGTGCCCTCCCCGCCCGTCGACGGCCCCATCGGGTCCGAGTCCTTGCCTGGACCCATGGCCACAGTGTTTTCTGGGACGGCAGTGTCTGTTGCTGCCGCATCTGCGGACGGAGCCTGCGGCGCATCTGCCAAGATGCTCTCCCGCCTGGCACGGTGACGGGGCCCAGCGGCGCATCCGCCAGCCAGCCAGCTGGGGCATGCGCATCCGCAGGGTCACGCGTGGCCTTCACCCGCGAGCGAAAGCCCAGATCGATTTATATGTTCTTCTCCCATAGCGATTCCGCCATGGCGCTTTCGTCGTCGGCCCTTGCTCCTGGCGCTCCGTTCATTCCGCCAGAAGCGTGCTTCTTCATTGCTTGGGGCATGACAGGCGTCATGGCCCCCGCCGCCCCCTCCATCCCCCCATGACGTAACGCTCCCCCCCCAGTGCGCTCCGGGCACTGCCGCCGTGCGCATCGGGATCCGCGTAGGAGTTCGCATAGGAATCCGCATAGGAGTCTGGTCCGCAGTCGGCGTCGTCGTCGTCATCCTCGTCGCTCGTCGCTCGTCGCTCGTCGCTCATCGTCGTCGTGCGCGAGGACGCGGCTGGAGTCTGTTTTTTAGTCTGGGCCGATGACGGCAAACATCTGGGGGGGGGGAGGGGGCCGATGATGTCACGTTTCGCGCCGGCGGCGTCTGGGAATGCCGAGCCGAGGACGGGTCGCAGCAGCATGTAGGTGACGATCTACAGCGCCTGTTTACACCACACCGCCTATGTACACTACATCAGCCGCGTGCAACACAGCGCCAGTGTGTGCCACAGTGCCTGCGGGCTGTGTACACCACAGCGCCTGCGTACACAACATCGGCCGTGTGCAACACAACCATGGTACAATCACAACGCCTGCGTGCACTACAGCGCCTGTGTACACCACGTCGCTTGTGTGCACCAGAGCAACCGTGTGCAACTGAGCACCACTGTTGTAGATAGATTGTTCGAATGAATGTTTATGGAAGAATGGAACGTTTGTGGATTCCACACGCCAAATATGCTCTATGTTGGATTTTGAAAGCAATTGTTCTGGAAAGCGAGCGCCGCTGGAATTTACGAGTCTTCCCGAGTCCGCCCGCATCATTTTGTTTCTTCCCATTTGCGTCCAGGAGGCTCCAGCTCAATTGGCCGCCCGAGAACCAAGTGGATTGATTCAGTAGCACATTCTGCGGTGCACGCTTAGATGCGCACGTGCGCTGTAGCGCCGACCCGGACGACATGGGGGAATGGTGAGGGAGGAGGAGGAGGAGGAGGTGGAGGTGGAGGTGGAGGAGGAGGAAGGTGGGAAAAACGTCGCATTCGATGATCAGCACTTCCAGCGTTGCGTTTTGCTGTCCGCAGCAGGTCCTCACTTACATGCTCCTTCTACGTGTCCTGTGCACGCAGGCGCTGTGGTATACACCAGCGCTGCGTTGTACGCGGATGCTTTGGTGTAGACAGGTGGCGTGGTGTGCACAGGCGCTTCGGTACACGCACACACTGTGGTGTACACAGGCGGTGTGTTGCACACGGTTGCCGCGGTGTACACATTCGCTGTGGTGTACACCGGCGCTGTAGTGCACGCGAGCCCTGTGGTGTACACAAGCGCTGCATTGCACACTGCTGTTGCGGTGTACGGTGTACGCGGGCGCTTTACTGTACACGCGCGTCGTGGTGCACGCGAGCATTGTGGTGTACACAGGCGTTCTGGGGGGCAGATCGCCACCTACATGTATACATGATGCTCGCGTCGTCGTCGTCGTCGTCGTCGTCGTCGTCGCTCCTCGCTCGTCCCTCGTGGCTCGTCGCTCGTCGCTCGTCGTCGTCGTGCGCGCGTGCGCGGCTGTGGTGCCGGAGCCACACGGCCGGGGGTCGTTACGTCATCCCCCCCCCCCCTGCCCCCCCCCCCCCCCTGACGCCCGTCATCGCCGAAAATGAGAGAACGCGTTCCAGGCTTGAGCTGTGGCTCGGGGCATGGTCTGATGGCCAACCGTCAAGCTCCCAGCTGGTCCTTCTCGTCCTAGTTGCTTTGTTTCCTCCCCTCCCTTCCTCGCCTTCTCCTCCCTCCTCCGACTCCGAGTTCGCTTCGTGCTCCCTCCTCCTTCGCACATGTCCCTCCCGTCCGATGGGAGCCGTGGCAGGTTTCGCCACGCACAGATGTCTTTCGGGCACATTCGTTTGTCAGCCACTGGCAAGATGGAGACGTGGGCGCCGAGATTTAGCGGGCGAAGAACGGTATAACATAAACTTTTCCGTCGCCAGGGGCGCTGCCCCAGGGCGGCTGGAAAAAAATACCTTGACGTGCAACCGTAACGGCATAAATGTTCCAGCCGCCCTGGGACATGCGCCCCACACGGCGAAAAAGTTTATGTCATGTGGTTCTTCACCCGTTCAGAGATTAAGACAAGAAAAGTTTCCAAGATTTTCCGGTTTTGCAATATGTCCTAATGCTCAATTCGGGCCGCAGAAACGAGGGCCGCCAGACACTCCCTGGACATCCTGGGACCCTGACCCAATCCTATCCTTAGGTCGGGCATATCCTCCTACAGGAGGAGTATCCAAAAATAGTCAAAAATAGTCAGGGGACGATTTTTGATTATTTTAGGTGTTTTTTGAATGTATAGTTGAATATTTTTTACTCCAAAATCCGCTTGTAGGAGGACATGTCCGACCCAATCTTATCATGGCTTTCAATTTCGTCTTCAACTTGTCTGGGGCCAACAGGGCTTCTGCCGGTTGCGAGCGAGTGGGGGAAGTGAGAAGGGGAAGGCCTCCTCAGAGGGCCCGGAAGTCCCCCGGACTTCCGAGAAGTTGTCTCTAAGCTTTCCCCCCGAAGACAGAAAAACATGCCTCAGAAGGCGCGAGGGCCTCTGAGAAGTCCCGCCGCCTTCTGAGAAGGCCTTCTCCTTCTTCAATTCCCCCCTCGATCGCCGCCGACCATCGCCGCCTCCGTTTATGGGACCCCCAATGCATGTAGCTTCAGGTCGGGCATGTCCTCCTACAGGCGGATCCTGGAAGGGGGAACAATAAGCAAACAATGAACAAACATTCCGAACCTTCTGAGACGGCCTCCTCCTCGTTTCCCCCCCCCCTCGCTCGCCGCCGATTCTGATCCTGGGACGAGGCGTGGGCTCGTTCGTTGTCCGTCGCCCGGCGAGATCCTGCCGGTGGCAGGGGCGCGCCTTCCCGGGGCCTCAGGGGGCGCGGCCGGTGCCATGGGGGGGGGGCGGTCTCGGCGGCCTGTCTGCTTCCGGGGGGGGAGTGCGTGGAGGGGTAAGCACAGTTTTTTGTTTTTGTTTCTGATTCTTAGACTTCAATCTGCTTGAGGCGCCTTCCGACTTCAGGGATCGGCCGATTTCCTTCTTCCCTCCTCATTCAGGGGGCGGGCGGAAGCCCAATCTTCTCTTCCAACGCCTTCCTGCTTCATGTTTCTGCCTGCTTCTTCCGACCGATGGGTAGTTTTAAGTCGGGCATGTCCTTATACAGGAGAAATGTTTTACAAAAATAGTCTGGGGGCAATGCTTCTGGTACTTTGACTAATTAGTTGTTGTAGATCTGTTTTGCTATTGTGTATGTTATCTCCAAAAGCCGCCTGTAGGAGGACATACCAGACCCAAGGGTAGTTATCACAGGGTGGGGTTGGGGAGCGAGCCCAGCCAGATGCCCCTCTCCCGCCTCTACTCGGACATGGCCAGGACCACGGGCAAGGGGAGGCAGTTAGCGATGGGGGCCCCGAAGCCCAAAACATGGAGCGCAATCGCTAGACCATGTCTGCCGCAGCTGGCCTGTGGAATCGCTACGCCAGGTCTTACTGATCCAGGGGTTGCTAGAGGTGCCCCTGGGCCAAGGTGCCCCCGGGCCAAGGTGCCCCCGCTTTTCGCTCCATTTGGGGCCCCCTGGGCATCGTGAGGGGTCCTCTGGAGGCCGTGGGGGCGTCCTTGGGGAAGCCTCCGGGCACCTTGGGCCAGGGACACTTGTAGCAACACCCCACTAGACTTAGACCCCCGACGTCATGAATTTTTCATAGCGTCGACCCCTGTAGGTCTCGATCCACTTCCTGGGACGGGTTTTTCCATGCTGTGCCGTTCTTTGACGGTGCCGAGGGCGTCCTCCTGCTCATGGGACTGCTCCTCGGGAGGGCACCTTCTACTGCTCCTCCTGCTCCTCCTCCTCCTCCTCCTCCTCGTCCTCCTGCTCCTGCTCCTGCTCCTCCTCCTCCTCCTCCTCCTCCTCCTCCTCCTCCTCCTCCTCCTCCGCTGCAAGGGCCCCGAGAGGCATAATTCAGAGAGAGAGGGGTCTGGGAACCCCGTCCCGCCAGCGCCCGCGGGAGCGCCCCCCCGACTGGAGGCTGCGAGGGCTCCGCCTTTCTCTCCCCCCCAAGGAGCAGCGGGCGCAGCACCTGGAGTCCGAGGCCGGGCAGCTTGCCGAGGAGGATTGCTCGATTTGATCGGGGAGCGGCCGAGGAGGAGGGAGGGGACGAGGGAGGGGAAGAGAGAGGGATGGAGTATCGAGTATCGAGCTATCTGACGTCGTCGTTGACAGAAATATTAGAGACCGCGGTGACGCTGCTCAGCCTTGCTAAGCTGTTTCGGCCACA